TAACATTATAACTAGTCCCAACAGTCACTAACATTATAACTAGTCCCCAACAGTTACTAACATTATAACTAGTCCCAACAGTCACTAACATTATCCAACAGAGATCAGCTGGTTGCCAACAGTTCTAACAATTTACCAACTATTAACCAACAGCACAACCAAATCACTAACTAGTTGCCAGCAGTCGACTACTCCTCACCAACAGATCATCTATCACCCTGGAATAGGCCACAGTGTTTCCAGAGCTCTGATTGGTCAGTCCTGACGGTCAGGATCACATCGTCCAGATGTGAACGCGTCGCACCGGATTCACACGAGCTCGGCTGTGAAACACAAACATCTGCTCGTAGAGGTCATTCAGGTTGGTCAGAGGTCAGAGAGCAAACATCAGCGTCTGCATGCAGATCATTTACATGTTTTAAGAAGTTTCTTGTTAATGTTGTAAACTGTGTCTGTGGTTAAAAGACAAACTTCATGAGCTGGATGTCGTGTTTGATCAGCAACAGCTGTAAATTAAAAATGACTTTGTTCTCAAACTTTATGTTTTCTTCACTAAAACTCTTTAAGCTTACAAGTGACATCTGTAATAAGTTAACTGATTATTTGTAGTTGTGCTGTTGATTGATGTTGAATAAAAGCTAAATAACCAGATTAACAATGTATTTATTCATTGACCTGATTATTTATATAAATTCCTCAATAATAAAGGAAATGTTTCAGACGTCATTTCTCCCTTTAAATAATTTGTTGTTGAGTTTTATATTGTTTGGTGAAACTTGTAAGAATTGCACATGCAGCTAAATTTGGTTATTGTGCTAAAAATGTGCCATAGTGCTCTTTAATGTTCTCCTTTTGGTTGCACAAGAGTGAACACACAATGAGAGCCATGTTTTTAAAGTGTAATGTTTCCCCACGCCTCTCCTTCACGCAAAACGCTTCTGATAACTTGCTGAACAACTTAAACGAGTTTGTCGAAGCTGAAGCCTGATCTTTATCCCTCTCGTCACTTTGTTCTGTTCACCGTTCTAATGTGAGCTCTGTGGGATGAACGTTTGCTGCAAGATGAGAACTTTGATTCACGCAGGTCATGTATTTATCTCTTGTTCTGTCTCAGTCCTCTCTCATCACTCGGCGTGTCCGTGAACTGGCCCGCCAGTAAAAACTCTGGGAATCCTGAAGAGCTGCTCCAGCCGATGCTCCGAAGGCTCTTTTCATCTGAGTGATAACTCCATGAAAGGACGGATGGAGACAACGTTTGTGTTTTTCTGGCATTCGTGAGTCGTGCGAGGGAGAAGAGGTCGTTTTAGTTTGGCAGCTCCGATGCTGCGAACGTGAAAAAGGAAGCAAAGAGCAGAGAGGTGGTCGAGCTGGTCTCAGACCAGAAACAAAAACCTCAAGTGGCTCTTCCCAATGACTGAATGCTGAAACAAGCATTTCATTCACTGTGTGGGATGTTACCTGACATGATTGTTCTGGTCATACTGGGGTGCATGAAATGCAATCAGAGCGAGCAAAGTGCCGTCCGAGGAAAACTCTGACAGACGAGAGGCTCTTTGTTGTTTCTGTTTGATTTTTGAAGCGTTCTGATGCCAAACCCTCAAACCGTTCTCATTTCCTTTGTTCTTCTTTTAGATTTCCATTTAAAGGAACTCGTGATGATGCAAGAAACTAAATTTGCACAATATTTTCACCAAGTGGTTAATGTGTCCTTGGAAAGTGATGTGAAATCGGTGGCCATGTTTGTTTACCTGCACAGATCCTGGTGCAGCTCAGTCAAGTGGATTCAGCCGAGTGCTTCGTTTACATCAAGATCTACAGCTCAATAAATCTGTAAAACTGCATAAACTCTTTCAAACAGCACCTTTCATAGGGTTTAATGTTTGTAATCATTGTTTTAAACGAGTATCTTTAAACTCAAACTATTAAATGTGGTTAAAATGTGTAATTTGTTGCCTAATGTTTTATTTGTTCAGGTTTGCATGCAGACTACTCTAACGTCTGTATTGTAGATTTTTATAATTGTTTCAGTAAAATTCATGCACAGGGTTGCTTTGCTCTTTTGACAGACAGTGACGTTGGGTTTTTTGCTTTTATCTGTGCAAAGTGAATTAAACACCACGTTGTGCATTTTATTTTTTGCCTTTTCTTCGTGGCCACATCTTCACCAACCTCCATATGTTGTCTGTGATGTCTCACACGCAGGGTTTTAGGACTTCTCTGTGTTTCAGTGTGAAAAAGATTCCTGCAGCGTGGATGTTTTACGTAGACGTGTGCTGAAAACATACACCCTGGTGTTTCCTGTCAGCTGCTTGGAGCTGACTAATCCTTCTGTCCACCTTCTCCACCCTCCGACCCGCCATCTGTCTTGGCTGAGTCGGACTCGGCGGTGACCCTGGAGCCGGTCGCCGGCGATGCAGCGCCGTGCAGGCTGCCATCAGGGGTGGCAGCTGCAGCCGAGCGGGGATGGGAGGCAGGGCTGGCACTCAGAACAGAGTCCGGGGTCCGCACGGCGCTGAGGTCGCCGTCGAGGACCGCGGCGGCTTCCAGGCTGTCGGAGAGCGCTCCGTTTGTCATGGCTGGAGGGGAGGCGGCGTTCAGGAGGGGCTTGTGGGAGGCGTAGGTCATCACGGCTTCAGTGTCGCTGTCCTGAGGGAAACCAGAGTGGCTGAACTCCACGCCAGAATCGTTCATTTCCAGGAAGTTGTCGGAGGGCAGAGTCTGGTACCGGCCTGGTTTGGACACTTCAAGGCCCTTCAGGGAGCGAGAGACAGAGAGGAGGTGAAAATATGGAGGATGGAGAAAGAGGGAGTAAGGAAGCAGGAGAAACGGAGGAGAAAGGGAACAAGAAGCAAAAGAAGGTCATAAAAAACCCCAAA